CTGCCTCAGCCTCCCAAGTGCTGGGATTACAGGCGTGCACCACCATCCCCAGCACATGGCGAACCTTTTAGAGATGAGTGCCCAACCTTCAACCACAAACCCACTTAGTTATCACAAAGTGCTAACACTGCAATTAAATGTGAATACTGAGGTTTTAGTTTAGAAAAAGCAACTCATACACTTGGCTCGAGTGCCAACAGAGAGGGCTCCGTGTGTCCACTGTGGCACTCATGCCATAGGTTCGCCACCACTGTTCTAGGGGCTTTTAAGGCACCTCACAGGGAGCTTGGGCCCTTGTGCAAGGATACGATCTCTACCCGATAGAAGACAACATACATTTGGGGTTTTTCATTTGTTCATTTTTTGAGAGAGGCCCAGGCTGGCCTGAAACTCATGGCCATCTTCCTGCCTCAGCCTCCTGAGTACTGGATTACAGGCGTGGGCCACCACGCCCAGCATGAGACCACAGTACTTTTTACGGTCCAATTTATGCAGTGTTCCTGAAGTGCCCACGCAGGGCCCATGCACCCCTGAGACTGCAGCCTGCCTGATCATGCCCTGGGGAGGTCCCTGGCAGCCACAGGGCACCTGGCAGATGTTTTCGAAAGATCCCTGCAGGTGGTGACTCAGCAGACTCCATCTCAGGCTGTCAGATGGAATCCTCATTCCTGTCTCACTGACTCCTCTCCCAACAGGACTGCCGGGGAGACAGCTCAGCACACAAGCCCCTGCCTGGCAAGCGCAAGATCCTGAGTTCAATTGTTCAAGTCCCCATACAAAAAAACCAACAACAACAGGACCCCCTCTACCCTCATGTGCAGCCCACAGGTCCAGACCCAGGTCCCACAGGGCCATATCCCTCCAAGGTTCCATGGATATTCGTTCTGGCCTCATCCAAATATGACATCGCCCTGCCTCAGCTTCCCAAGTAGCTGGGATTATACATGAGGGCCACAGTGTCTGGCCTTTCTGTCTTCTTTTGTTGTTTGTTTTGAGACAAGGTCTTGCTATGTAGTTCAGCCCAGGCTTAAACTCACTATGTAGCCCAGGCCAGCCTGGAACTGCCCTCAATCCTCCTGCCTCAGCCTCCAGAGTGCTTAGATTACAAGTATGCACTACCATGCCTGGCTCTTCTGTCCCTCATAAGGACACTGTCACTGAATTTAGGGCCCACCCTGATCCAGGAGTACCTTATCTGGAAATCCTGTACTAATTAGCTCTGCAAAGACCCTTTTTTCCAGATACAGCCACATGCCAGGCTCTGGAGGACCTATCTTGTGGGGATGCCACTATTCACATCCCCCATCTCCCTCCAGCCGAGGAGCCCCTGCTTCTCTCAAGCCCCCGCGTCCATCTTGTCACATCCTATGTCAGGCAGTGACCCTGTATTACTTAAGCACTTCCTGCGGCTTGCTAAGTTGACTAGGCTGACCTCAAAATTATGATCCTCCTGCCTCAGCCTCCCAGAGTGCTGGGATGTCAGGCGTGCAGTATTTTTATTTCCTAAACCTGGCTACCCTAGGGGACTGACTGGTCCTAGAAGACAGTGGATCAGAGCTGAGCAGCACAGGTTGTTGAAGAGCTCCCTGATCCCCACACCACACCGGGCTCAGGGAGGGACTTCGGCCAAGGGGACCAGAAATTTGGGTCTCAGAAGGGGCCAGGCTGCATTTGGAAACAAAAGCTGAAGTTTCCTGGCAGCACTGCAGTTTCCCAGAGGTCTGGACTTGGCAGGGGAGGAATGGGCAGGGGGGAAGGAATTGTGCACAGCAGGGGTTGTTTGTGACCCTGCGAGGACTCTGATGCCAGCTGGCTTCTCTCCCTAGCCGGCTCCTCCTCGTGGCCCTCGTCCCGCACGTAGCTTAGCTTCGACCCCATCTGTGTGATGGTCAAGCTCCAAGGCCCTCCGGATAAGGGCTTTTGGTTTGGTTTTGTTGTTTTTTGACTTTTGAGACAGGATCTCTCTCTATAGCCCGGGCTTGCCTTGAACTCATGGTGATCCTCCTGCCTCTGCCTCCCAAGTGTTGAGAGGACAGGCGTGAGCCACCACGCTCGGCTATTTAAGGCATGTTTGAGGATCTGCTGGGCTCTTTTCCCAGCGGCTGTACCCGGTTCACTCCCTACAGCAGTGGGAAGATTCCAATTTACCACAATCTTACCAGCCTGCTCTCATCTGCTACTTAGATTCCAGCCCACTTAGTGGGTGGGAAGCATCTCATTGTGTTTGTCTGTCTCTCTGCCTTTTAATTTGCTTTTTTTTGGGTTTTTTTTTTTTTTTTTTTTTTTGAGACAGGGTTTCCCCATGTAGTTCAGGGTGGCCTTGAACTCACAATGTACCCCAGCTTGTCCTAGAACTTGTCATCCTCCTGCGTGAGCCTCCTGGCTGCTAGGATTACAAACATGTGCCCCCACCCAGCTTGTGTTCTTTATATATACATGTCTTTTATCAGATGTAGGATTTCTAAATCTTTCCACCCCTCCTTCCACTCTACAGATGGTCTTTCACTTTCTTGCTGTTCTCATAGGACAAAAGTTTTAAATGTCAGATGTGTGGAGCCCTGGGTTCAATCCCCAAAACCAAAAATTTCTGATTTTGCTCAAGTCCATTTTTCTTTTATTGCCTGTGCTTTTGAGGGTCAGCTTTGCAGCCCAGGCAACAGGGTACTCAGCTGTTGTCTCTCTTAACCCTCTTTGTTTTTTGTTTTTTTTTGGGGGGGGGTTGTTTTTGTTTTTGGTTTCGGTTTTTTAGGTTTTTTTTGTCCGGTACCAGGAATCGAACTCACGACCTTGTGCTTCCCAAGCAGGTGCTGTGCTGCTGAGCTAAATCCCCAGCCCCTCTTAACCTTCTTTGAAGTTTTGTTCTTTGTCTTATGTCATGGAGGCCTCAAGGTCCAGCTGCCAAACAAAATACAAAACCCCTGACCAGTTAAATTTTAATTTCAATCTGAGCAACTACTTTGAAGATAACAATATGCAGTATATTAACCATTGCTAATTTCCTACTATCTTGTTTTGAAATTCTGTATCATTTTTATTGTTTTTCTTTTTTCTTTCTTTTTTTTTTTTTTTTTTTTTTTTTTTTTTTTGAGACAGGGTCTGGCTATGCAGTTCAGGCTGGCCTTGAGCTCACTTTGTAGCCCAGGCTGGTTTCGAATTCTCAACGATCCTCCTGCCTCAGCCTCCCGAGTGCTGGGATTACAGGCATTTACCACCATGCCTGGCCTGTTTTTCTCTCTTTAAAAAAGAAAAGCACATTAAACAAAAATCATTGTATGACTAATTTTTTTTTTTTTTTTTTTTGCCTTTTTGAGACAGGGTCTTGCTGTGCGTGCCATTCAGGCTGGCCTGAGCTCACTCTGTAGCCCAGGCTGGCCTCAAACTCTCAATGATCCTCCTGCCTCAGCCTCCTGTGTGCTGGGATTACAAGCGTGCGCTTCCACGCCCGGCTCCTATATGACTGATGTGAAAAAAATTTAATTTCAGATAAACAGTGAATGTTTTCTTTGTATAACTATGTCCAAATATTATACAGGATACTTAACACTAAAAACTTTTGTTCTTCATCTTATATCCTAATTTAAGGGCTGTCCAAGCATTTCTGTTTTAGGAGGAGAAATCCTCTCTGAACATTTTTTCCTGTCTTTGGTTTTGTGAGACAAGATCTCAGTACGTAGTCCAGGCTGGCCAGGAACTCACAGTGATCCTCCAGCCTCAGCCTCCAGATTACTGGGATCCACCAAAAATATTAATTAAATAAAATATAACTAAAAAACCTTATTTGAATCTCATGTTCAAAAATATACCGTTTTTACCACTTTCAAGCCTACAGCTCATAGCTCAATTTAGAAATAACAAAATAAGTATCCGCCATGGGTCCATCCCACCCCCGCTGGCACCACCCTCGTTTCCTAGCAACGCCGAGTCCCGCCTCCAGGTCAGAGGCGGGGGCCGGAGTCACGTTCGCCGGCGGCAGCCGGTCGGGCTTCCGTAGCTCGAGCCTGCCAGGCCGATGGGAGTACACGTGCTTATGTGCGCGTGCGCAGGGCGTGGCGTCCAGCGTGCCCTGAGCGTCCCGCCCCGCGACGCTACCTGCGTGCGCGCGCCCCACAGCAGCCCGCCCTTCTTATACCACCGCGTCGAGGACGGGCGCGGCGACTGGTGTGGGGACGAGGGGCGACATGGCGGCCGCAGTGCTGTTGGCGCTCGGCCTCGTGCTGCTGGACGTCCAGGGCGCCTCCGCGGCCGGTAAGGAGCGGGCCGAGGTCGCGGGGCCGGAGAACTAAGCCTGGGGGGGCTCTGGGGCTTGAGGGTCTTGGCGGGGTCGGGGGTCGAGGGGTCGAGGCCAGAGGGGACGGAGGTACAAGAGAAGCCCTGGGGCGGGGGGCGTCCCCGTCTGGGAGAAAGGAGCTGAGGGGTGATCCTGGCGCTTTGGAGGCGCGGGAGTGCCTGGGGGCTACGTCTCTGAGGCTTGGGGGTCCTGGAGGTCGGGGTATGGGGGTTCGTCGTTTTGAGGGTTCCCACCCTGGGAGACTGGGTGAAGGTTATCCTGCGGGTGCTGAGACGGCCATAATGCCCAGAGGGACAACAGTGTCGCTTGACAATGAAGAAGGCCCTAAAATACAGGAGTGGAGGAGCCTGCCCTCTGGGGTGCCCACCCCCCGACTGGAGCGGGGAAGGATGAGAGTTTACGCTGCGGAGTCATCAGTGCCTGAAAATGATGACCCTGAGGTTTGGTGGATCCAGGCGGAGCCTGCAGACTGAGGGGCGCCGGGGCCCCGGAGTCTCCGAACCGCAGCAGGACAGGGTGAAGGAGAGTCACGGCCTGGGGGTTCCCACTTGGGGGCAGTCAGAGTGAGGAACCCCCAGTCTGAGCTGCACCTGCAGGGAGAGGTGACCCTGGGGAGTTCCTGGGGGGCAGTGCTCAGGGGTGATGGGCACAGCTTCGGGGGAGTCCCAAGCAAAGCTGTCCCCAGGCATCCCCAGGTGCCTGCCAGGATGTGTGGGTGTATAGGAGGTGTTCTCCTTGCTTTTCTGTGGCAGAGGGTCGCCTGGTCAGGGGCCTGGCCTCACCCCTGCACGGGGGTGTTTGGGGGGCTTGGAGATCCACTTGCTGGTGCCACTGACCAAGAGAGGGGCCGCCCAAGCCTGGGGGCTTAAGGGATCCCCTAGGTTGGAGCCAGGGCTTGGGCTGTTCCTAGGCCTGCTTCAGCCTGGGCCCTTAGGCTGGATGCTGCAATACCTGGGAAGGACCCCTGAGGAAGACCTGGGCAGTGCCAGGTTGAAAGACAGCCCCCTCCCCCAACATACGACTCCCCCACCCCCGGCTCAGTCATCTGGACAATGTCTGTTGTGTTCAGAACCAGACCTTGAGGGATTATCATTCTTGGTGGGATTTAGCTCCTTCTGGGCTAGCGCTGTTCTTCCACATGCCCTGAGGGGCTCCCTATTTTGACCTGACAGGGGTCCTCAGATTTTGCCTGTTAATGAGGGAAAGTGTGAGATGGCTTCAAGGTCACAGTGAGGTCGCTTTGGCCTCTTGGCCAGAGCAAGAGCACAGGTGATCTTGAAGACTCTGGGCACTTGGGGTTGGTGCTGCCCATAGGGCCCTGGAGAGGGTTCTGGGGAGGTCAGTGGAGGGGTGTTCTAGACGGTGCTCTTTTTTTTTTTTTTTTTTTTTTTTTTTTTTTTTTTTTTTTTTTTGTTTTTTTTTTTTTTTTTTTTTTTTGTTTTTTTTTTTTTTTTTTTTTTTGGTTTTTTTTTCTCCGGTACCGGGAACCGAACTCAGGACCTTGCGCTTGCCAGGCAGGCGCTTTGCCGCTGAGCTAAATCCCCAGCCCCTAGACGGTGCTCTTGTGCTTGGTGAGAAATTGTCTTCCTTTATTGAAAATCTCTTTGGGTTCTGGGTTAAAGATTTATAGTGACAAGCATGTAGGGAACAAAGGGCAGAGGGTCTAGGGCTCTGCTGGAGAGGGGTGGCCACAATGGCTGCCTCCGACTGAAGAGTGGACAGCAGGCCCCAGGGAGGGGGCTGTTCCTGAGCCACTTCAACATTTCCTAGCCCTTGAAATTGAGATGGCCCTATCAGGCTCTTCCTGGGAAGGGCCCTGGGCCTAGCGGGAGGCAGGTCTGGGTTGGCACATTTAGGAGCCCCGCAGGGTGCCCCGAATAGCCACTCTGGTTACATGGATAGAGGATTTTTTTCTTGCCCGGGATCCAAACAGGGTTTCTGCCAACGTCAAACTCAGCCTCAGGGCAGATCCCTCAACCCTTTCCTGGTGCAGCTATGCGGCCTTGCTGGGCAAAGCCTATGTGGGTGAGAAGTGTCCCAGTTGGTCTGGGGCATTTGTGCTTGTTTTTCTTGGCACTTTTGGCCCTACACATGGAGAGAGTCAAAGATATGAGGGTCTGATTACTCCTGTGTGTTTGCGTGTGCTCGGTGCTGAGCTTGGAAACTGGGCCCCTCCCATGCTAGGCCCCAGAGCTCCACCCAAGCCCCGTGGTACTCCAGACCCTGTGGGCAAAGAGTGATCATGGTTCCCTCTCCTGCCAGGCCACCTGCCCAGAGTCCCCCATGAGGCTCTGCCAGGGTGAGGGGCCCCAGGCTGGTAATCCAGGCTGGTAATCCTGGAAGCACCGACTTCCTAAGGATGGGTTCCATTTTGTGGTTCAGATGAGAGGCAGGGCTCCATCCAGGTGGGAGGAGTGACTGTGCCTATGGCTTGCGTCCCAGAATGCTTTCTTGCTCTTGTCTCCATGGGGGGAGGAGGGAGGCGCAGGCCGCACCCTCAGGAAAGAGTCTCCCAGCTTGGACAGCGCAGGCAGTGCAGGCTTGTTGACCCCACAGCCAGCTGGCTCTGTGCCCCGGCTGGCTGCAAGTGGTCAGGAGGAGGGCTGTTTTTAGATGAAGGTGACTTTTGGAGGGTGTGGGCTGCGATCATGTGGCCTAGACACAGTCTGGACTTCTAGGTGGTGATGGGTCAGCTGCTCCCCTCGTCCTGGTGTTCTTTGGGGTTGCTTTGCTGACAGCCTGGCCCCGTAAAATTCTGATGCCATCCCTGCAGGCAGCAGCATTATGTCTGAGGCCATTTGGAGAGAGTGTGGACAGGGTGCACTTTGCCCCTGGCAGCTGAGCCCCCGCTACCGGTGGAGATGATGGGGGCAGCTGGGACAAGACCTGCCAAGCTGAGAGTGGCTGCTGCCCCTGCTGCCCTGGATGAAGTGACCAGGCAGTGGGAGGAGCGGGTGGCAGAGGTGGGAAGGGGTTGCAGCCTCTGCTTCACTTTCTACCCTGACGCACTGCCCTCAAGCCCTGGTCACCTGGCGCAATTGGGAGACCAGTCCCAGGAAATACAGGTTACCAGGAGATCCCTTGTCAAAAGGCACCACCACAAGTGGTTCCCAAGTGTCCTGGCCCAGTCCTGGGTGCCATGGGCCATTCAGATAGGCAGGTGTCCCGGAAACGTTGGGGCAGGTACCACCGTGCGCTGTAGCCTGCTCCCTACTCAGCCAAGCATGCGTGCACTTGCAGGTGTGTCCGTCTGCAGACGTCAGGCCGAGACCTGCTGCTCTGCTGCTTGGGGCTGAGCGTGTGCACACACGTAGCCGTGTGCATGTGTCTGCAGCCACATTCCTGCAGTCGCATGTATGTCCTCATACCCACAGGCGTGGGAACCAGCCTGCCCCTGGGCCAGCCCTGCCAGCAACTGCCGTGAGGAGTCTGAGTGTCCCCTGCCCCTCTGCAGTTAGTTCTGTGACCTTGTGTCCCAAGGTAGCACCCTCACCCCGGCCACACCTGCTGTTGGACCCTGCCTTTGGGGGGGCCCTTCATCAGAGATTCTGGGGGCAGTGATCCTGAGGTTTGGCCTGAGAGGGGAACCTGTTGAGGGCTGGAGGATAACCTGCCCTTTTGGAGTTAGAGGTTTCATCTGCCCCACTATTGACCTGACCCTCAGTGGACAGAGAGACCCACACATAGGCGGCATCTCACACAGGCTCAGGGAAGGGCTCTGGTGTGAGTTCCACTTGGCCTACGGGCTGGGAGGAGTTCCCAGTCAGGATGATGGGGCTTGGGAGGGCCTGCCGCGCTGGGCCCTCAGGCCGGGATCTCTGTCTCACCCAGCCCTGTGTTTTGTTTGGAGCCAGTGGTTTCAGTTGCTGTCCACAGTCCATGTCACCAGTGAGGACTGGGGCTCTGGGTGGGGACACGGTCCCTCCCTTGGGCTGCCCTGTACATGGCAGCCACATGTCCCCCTGGGCACTTCTCCCTGGGAGCTCAGAGGAAGTGTGGCTACTCAAGGCCCCTTTCCAGGAATGACAGCCCTGACCCTCTCCCTTAGCTGGCTTCCTCATAGCCCCGCTGTCCCAGGAGGGGCGGGCGGGGGGCAGCATCCAGCTGCATTGCGAGGCAGTTGGCCGCCCTGTCCCCGAGATCCAGTGGTGGTTTGAAGGGAACCGGCCTGGCGACCCCTGCTCCCAGCTCTGGGACGGCGCCCGGCAGGACCGTGTCCACATCCACGCCACCTACCGCCAGCATGCGGCCAGCACCATGTCCATCGAGGGGCTCACCACCGAGGATGCGGGCACCTATGAGTGCCGCGCCAGCAACGACCCTGACCGCAACCACCTGACCCGGGTGCCCAGGGTCAAATGGGTCCATGCCCAGGCGAGCGTGGTGGTCCTTGAACGTGAGTGGCCGGGTCACCTGCCTTAGTTTCCCTCTCGTGCCACCCGGCCCTGGCTCCTGCTTGGTAGAACCCAGACATCCTGGCCCAGCTTTCTGCCCAGCCCAGGGCTCCAACCTGGAGTGGGAATCAACACCACAAGGCAGGAGCACAGCCTGGCCAGGAGCCGCAGGCCCTGCCTCCCTGATCCACACGTCTGTCCATCCTGCTCCGTCTGTCCGACCCTGTGCCCCTCGTCACTGGCCCGTCTCCCCTGCATGTGTCTGCTGGGTCTGGGGTCTCTGAGCTCAGCAGTACCTCTGGCCTTCCAGGGCCTCTGCAGCCTCTAGCAGTCGATGTTCAGGTTTGGACTCCTGAGGGTTGCGGGCAACTGGGCAAGAGATTTGCTCTGCTGGAGGTGAGGGCTCGCAAGGGGCAGCCTCCGGCTCTCCTGGAAAGGAGTCCCAGCCCTGGTGGGGCCCCTCCAGCAGGTTGGTCCTCTGTGCTCATGGAGGGTTCAGGGTGTCCTTGGATCCTCAGGGAGAGGCCTTGGTTGGAGAGGCCCTCTTTGGCCCACCTTGGTCCTTGGGCATCCTTCAGGGCGAGGCTTCTTCCATCCTGTGCTGATCTCTTCTTGCTGTGGTTCCTAGCGGGCACCATCGTGACCACTGTGGACGACATTGGCTCCTATGTGCACATGGCTTGCATCATGAACCACAGCGACATCGCTGTCACTGGGCACCAGTGGCTGAAGGATGGCAAGGTGCTGAAGGAGGACGCACTGCCTGACCTGTACACTGAGTACCAGTGAGTGGAGTGGCAGCAGGGACAGCCGGAAGCCCCAGGGAGCCTTGGGTCTGATATTGCTCCTTGCAGCTCTGTGTCCTGTAGCAGAAGAGTGGAGTGAGACACGTTCGTTAGGGCTGGAACTCCCTCTCCCAGGGATCAGGGCAGGGCAGGCTGCGGGGAGGCTCATTTACCCGGATGGGGCCCCTTTCACTTGCAGCACATTCTGGCTGCTTCATGGTGAGACCCAGGCCATGTGTGCCCTTCTGGGAGGACTGGTCTCACAGCCACTGCCCCATTGCAGGGTGACCAAGAACAGCACGGGCAAGTACTCCTGCGTCTTCCTGCCTGAGTCCCTGGGCAGGGCCGAGATCCCAGTGAGTGGTGAGTGCTGTGGCTGGGAGATGGGTGGGCAGGGGACCCAGGAGCTGGAGGGAGAAGGAGGGGAGCAGCTCTGCGGGGTGTCAGGTCCCTCCTGCTCCAGCCTCAGGGCCCCCCCGGATCAAGGCCACCAAGAAGTCTGAGCACGCCAGTGAGGGCGAGACGGTGAAGCTGACCTGCAAGTCTGACCCTGACACGCCCATCGACACCTGGGTCTGGTACAAGGAGGTTAACTCCCAGCAACAGGTGAGGCCCACAGCTGGGGACGCAGGTCCAGTGAGGGGTGAGGATGGGGCCACGGCCCCCTCCTTCCCCAGGTACTGATAAGGCCCCTGTCAGGTCATCACCAACAGCTCCGAGGGCAGGTTCTTTGTGATCTCCTCGGAGGCCAGGTCGGAGCTGCACATCAAGAACCTGGACATGACCTTAGACCCCGGCACCTACATCTGCAATGGCACCAACTCTGAGGGCACCGGCCAGGATAGCATCCAGCTGCGTGTGCGCAGCCACCTGGCGGCACTCTGGCCCTTCCTGGGCATTGTGGCCGAGGTGCTGGTGCTGGTCACCATCATCTTCATCTATGAGAAGCGTCGGAAGCCAGATGAGCCCCTGGACGGTGAGTGGCCGGGTGGAGCCCCGGATACGGGGCAGTCTCGACCCTTCTCTCCCTGCGGAGAGTGGGGTCTGCTGCCCACTGTCTCACCGCCCTCTCTCCTCCTCCCCCTTGGCTGCAAGTTGGTGTGCTCCATGGTAAGGGGTGCCCTATGCGGCCCAGGCAGCAGCTGCATGGTAGGGCTGGCTCGCTAGGCTGTGGCTGCGTGCATGCAGCTGAATGTGGCCTGTGCGTGGCCACTCCCAAAGGCGGGAGGTGGGGCTGGCAGCAGAATGGGGTGGCTGCTTCCCTGCACGCACTCCCTCCAAGGCCCCTGTGGGCGGCCAGGCCTGCGTTGACACCTCCTCTCCCTCCACAGATGAGGATGCAGGATCCGCGCCTCTGTAAGTCCCGGCCCCTGGGGGTGGGAGGGGTCTCCTCTGTCCTCGGACCACCACGGGGTCAGTGCTAGGCGCCAGTACCACTGGGTCCTGAAGCCCCTGCCCTCTGTCTGCAGGAAGGGCAGCACGCCCCACGTGAATGATAAAGACAAGAACGTCCGCCAGAGGAACGCTACCTGAGCAGCGCGGTAGCCCGGGCCCTGTCCCCGCCTCCCGCAGGAGTCCTCCCCTGCCGTCAGCGCCAGGCCCGCTCACCTCAGAAAGCCCATGCAGCCACAGCAAATCCGCTGTAGATCTCCGTGTTTGATTTTTTAAATCTTAACTCAAGTAGGGTTTTCTACATAGACAACTCTGTTCCTTAGGTTTTGTTTTTTCTCCTTTTTAAGCCCACGTGAGTGCCAGGGAGTCGACATGTCCCCCAGAGGCCCCTCAGGCCCCCCAGGTCCCTAGCCACCTAGGCTCAGGAGGGTGTGCAGACCACACCGCCTGCCTGTCTGAAGCCAGCACTGTCTCTTATCCCCCATTTTCACTGTTCTTTCCTGAAGGTCACAGGTCTATTGTGACCTTTTGGTGGAGAGGACCCTAGTTCCCTCCTGATGTCCAGGTGTCAGGGTCTGGGCCTCCAGAGCTACCTGCTGTGCCAGGGACAACAGTGTCTTCTCTACAGTGTCCGGCACACAGGGACCCCCACCCCCACCCCCACCCCGCACAATAAAGACTGAGCCCACCTAGTCTGGTGTCCACCCTGGGCTGTGCCGCAGTGGGGGCTGCAGGGTGTGTCTGGGGGGTTCCGGCTAACCTCGAAAGCTCAGCTCACACCACGCTGGGCTGGGTAACCCAGGGAGGGTGCGGGCTGGGGTCACAGGCCGTGCAGGAGCAGGGGAAGCCAGATGAGAACCTCTTGGGGGCCTTCTGGGTCTAGGAGTGGCTGGTTGCCTCCCTCTGAACCTGCTTCGATCCTTGGGCCCTCCCAAGGCCCACAGGGCCCAAAGAGGTAGGGGCCCAGGAACTGGACCAGACAGAGGCCTGGCTGTGTTGCAGGCACCTCCCAGCCTACCAGGGACAAGCTGCAGCCAGGTATGGGACCATTACCTGTCAGTTCACTCAGAAGGGAAGAGGCTAGGCCTGGGAACCACACAAGGCTGGTGCTAGCGGGTGGGAGCAGAGAGTCCTGGCCATGAGAGGGTCCCCTGTGCACAGCCTAGAACGGGGCCCAAAGGTGGAGGTCACCGTGGGGCCAGGCCCTAGGGAACTGGACAGCCCTGGGCCTCCAGAGACCCTGACAGGCTTCCTTCCTGGGCAGGGGAGAGTGCTGAACCTTCAGCTGTCTCAGGCCAGGGTCTCGGTGTGTTGTAGGGAACAGGAGGTGGGACCTGGGGCAGCCCTGGGCACCACTCATCCCGCTGACAGCTCAGGAAGAAAGGATCAAACAGGAAGTATCCCCCCATACTGAGATTGAACCGGGCCTTTGCACTGAGCTACATCC